GTATCTATAATCTTCGTAGAATTTCCGATCGTTGTATAATTTCCGATCATTGTAGTATTTACGGTTATAGCTGTATACGAGATTATTGTGATTCTCACTATGAACGATTCTACGAGTTTAAAGTATAAACTCATAACCTTTATCAGCTTAAAAGAAAAAATACCAATTCGGCCCATTTTCAACAGAGTGAATTCTGTGTGGTATATTCTGCCTTGAGTAGTAAAATTCACGTGAAATTTAGGCCATGACGAGGCACAATTATTCATGATCTACATTCACTTGATAATTAAAGCATAGGCAATAATTTGCAAAAGCATAAATGTGGAATGTATTTCCCATTGCATTGTAATGGGAATTTCAAAATAAAAAAAAATTTATTGTTTGTAAGCATTTGTATTCGGTTAAAAATTTATTATATTATTCACTGAATGCCAAGTGATCTATTTTTGCTAGTCGCATAACATAATTGAGAGATAATTGCATGCAAGAGATTCATACCATAATTGAGAGAAAATCGCATGTGAAGATTCATACCATAATTGAGAGATAATTGCTTGTAAGAGATTCATAACATAATTGAGAGATAATTGCATGTAAGAGATCTATAATATAAATGAGAGATAATTGCTTGTAAGAGATTTATACCATAATTGAGAGATAATTGCATGTAAGAGATCTATAATATAATTGAGAGATAATTGCTCGTAAATGATTCATAACATAATTGAGCGATAATTGCATGTTAGCGATGCATTCAGTAATTGTAAACGTTTCAAGAAAATCGTTTCAAAGTGCGATATTTTTCGCTTGCAGTTCGGGTCTAAAATTATGAGTTAATGAATAATTCGGGCGAATGGAATACAACCAGGAAGACGGGCGAATTAGAGCCAACAGGAAGACGGGAGCGTTAAAAGAAAGAATTCGGACGTCTGCAAAGGACTTTTGACGGACGTATGGAAGACGCCGCAAAAAAATTTATTTCACCAAGATTATAGCTCTGAATCCAGTGAAATTGGAAGGAAAATTTTGGATGAAGCTCTTGGATGTATAAAAAGCTAAGTGTAAATTTCTGACAAATATTGTAAAATTATTGACAGAAATTTTCGAAAACGAGATAATTAATCCATATTAATTTTTGTGAAATGATGCTATGCGATTCTACCATCCGAATGTGTTCTCCGGATTCTGACGAAAGGGATATTTTCGAGTTATTTACAATTTACTATTTTTTATCGATGAGCTCAATAGTTCCAATAGTCGTTATCATTCCCCTTTTTTACCAGGAAAAGATACTACAATTATTTAAAGCTGCAGCCCCTTGGAACATGCCAAGCAAAGGAATTGTGCTTATTAGAGAATTTTATCTCGAGCATCGCTAGATAGAGCGGCCATCTTGATAAGGTATAACGAGTTTTTTATGTTGCATGAAACATATTAGCATTGGCATGAGTTATTTTTTTGTAGCATGAAGGTGAACAGTAAAGGCATGAGTTTTTCGCATGAACCCGAACAGTATAGGGCTGGAGTTTTTAATGAGGCGTGAGGATTGGAAAAAATAAACAAGTCGACCGGCATGAGATGGGAAGTATTTACGATCAGATATCTTTCTTATCAATCCTTATAGGAACCCTGGAAACTAGTCCATGCAGCCCCTTGCCTAAAACAGGTTTTGCTCCTGAAAATCAGTAAAACGTGGAAAAGGGAAAGCGTAAATTCCGTACGATCAGATAAATCATCTGTATAGAAAGACGGATCAATGGACTAAAGGATTGCTGCCACGCGAAAGAAAGAGAATAAATAATGAAGAGAAAATATTCATGACTTCACATTTAGCGATAGTCAAGTGTTGTATAATGAATGGCCCTATCAAATGTTGTCGTGGCTTATCAAAAAGATTATTTGTCTTATTGTTGTCATACGCTCAGAAACTCACAAATTCTGATCTCTGCATGATTGGCAATAGTACAGAAGTTGTCCACGTATGAGAATTTTAAATTAGGGAATGTATGCTAATACTGAACAATTCATAAAAAAACACCAAATAATTCCAAATATATTTATGCTTCATAATAAGATAATATTGAGGTCTTATACATAATAGAAATTGTCTACAAATAAGAATTTTCAAATGATGAATACATGCCTTTGCCATGATAAGAAAAAAGATGAGAATTTAAAATATTTTTGTTAAATATCATGAAATTATTCATGATACATTTTTTATAAAACTCATGATTGTCGATTCTCAGCCGAATAAATGACAAAGTCATAAATATTCCATAAATTTTAATATGCCATTGCCTTATTATTACATATTTCTAATTATAAAGTGTATATTAATTTTTAATATTAATGCAGGTGGAATAATTACAGAGAGAATTTTTCCAGGAAAACAAGTTTGCTGGTTTCATATTGTTGAAGTATTATATAATTGGAGAAATTGTTTCATGTACATAAAATGTACTTGGAGACAAAAATGATAAGATATTGTAAAATTATTTACGAAAATGTTCGAAAACGAGATATTTAATCCATGTTGACTTTTTGTAAAAAGATATTATAAGATTCTACCATCAGAATGTGTTCTCCGGATTCTAACGAAAGGGATTGTTTCGTGTCATTCACTATTTACCCTCAATTAATAGTTCCACTAATCGTTATCATCCCCGTTGTTATCAGCCATGAAAAGATACTGCAATAAAGCTGCAGCCCCTAACATGACTGACCAAGCAAAGGGTTTGTACTTATTAGAAATTTTTATCATGCGTATCGCAAGATAGAGCGGTCATCTTGATAAGAGATCAGGATACAGAGATGCATGAGGCAGTATCATACCAAACAACGCTGGTAGTTGTGGTTTGAGTTTTCCATGTGACATGAAATATACTAGCATTGGCGTGAGTTTTTTTTATAGCATGAGCGTTACCCGTGAAGGCATGATTTTTTTGTTATGAATCCGAACAATATAGGGCGTGAGTTTTTTCGTAGTATGAACTGGACCAGTACAGAGCTTGAGCGTTTATTTATCCATTTATTTTTTTAAATTATATAGTTGCATGAATTCGACGAGCATAGGGCATGAGTTTTTAATGAGGCATGAACTCGTGAGGCGTGAGGCTTGAATTGTTTACGAACATATAAGTCATCTGTATTAAAGGCGGATCAATGAACTAAAGGATTGCTGCCACGCGAACTCAAGCGATTTTGATGATACGAAATCAACAAAATCAGCAAAAACACTTCAGCCCTGGTGTACCTCTGTTTACTTTTTCACAATAAGACTCTTTTCGCTTATTTTTATATACCATATCAGTTTTTGCATATTTTCCAAAACCTATATTTTTTGCTGCTTTTTAAACAACGTTATTTTTAGACAGTAAATCACTTTTTGCTTTCTCTGTAATACTTCACTCTCTACAGCACATTATTTTTTGAGCAGCTTTTACAGCAAATAATATTTTGCTTATTTTTAAACTACACTATTTTTACACAGTAAATCACTTTATGCTTATTTTTCACAAAACTTCACAATTAGGCTTATTCTTCCTCCACAGTACATGGTTTTTTCGTCTATTTGCACGAGGTATTTCACTTTCTGCATATTCTTGTTGCCTTTTGTTGCCCGCGCTTATCGCGTGTACAATGGCCAGTCGATACGGTGAAAGATTCCTATCATCCCAAAGCTAGATGCACCTCTCTATTTTTATTCTATGGTTAATTAATAGGGAAATATTAATAATGAAGTAACAATATTCATGACTTACATTTAGTGATAGTCTACTGCGGTACATTGAATGGCCATAGCAAATATTGTCGTGATATTATATATAATTTTTTTATTGTTGTCATACGTCAGTACCTCACAAATTTTGATCTCTGTTTGACAATAGTAGAGAAGTTGTCCACGTTGAGAATTTTAAATAATGGAATGCATGCTTTTGCTGTACAATTAAAAATACCAAATAATTTCAAATATTTGTTTAATAATAAGGGTAATATATCGAGGGCTTTTATTTAATAGAAATTTTGAATTATTGAAAAAATGCCTCAGCCATAAAACGAAAATAAAAAGAGAATTTAAGATACGTAATTACGTTAAGTATCAAGGGATTTTCGAATTTGCTTATATTGGTTCAATAGTATTTAAGGATTGGTATATAATCGGAGATCAATTATTTAGAGGAAGAGGAAAGCAAGTATTTTTACGTACTATATAAAAATGGTGTAATTGTTCATGCTAAAAAAATTTCTGATCGACCTCACGCTTATCAATTCTCAGCTTACCAAATGACAAAGTTATATATATTCCCTATATTTTAATATTTTATAGCGTAATTATTACATATTTATAATTATAAACTGTACATTAGTTATCGATATTAATGCAGGTGAAACAATTATCATTGAAAATTTTTTCAGGTAAACAAGTTTGCTGGTTTCATTTTGTTGAGGAATTATATAGTTGGAGAAATTGTTGCATGTATATAAAATGTACTTGGTACAAAAAAATGCACTCTAGTCAATGCTGTGTACCTGTGTTGTACGCTGTGCATTACTGAGATGCAGCAGCTGTGTTGTATGAAGTGTATTCTCATATTAATACAGCGATGTTGTACCCGGTGTGTGGAATTTAATTGAAACTACGCGTATTGTGATAGTTTAGGCATTCTCTTATAGTGACAGCTAGTGTATGCATGACAATATAGTGAGTACAGGGGCGTGATTGCAGTGATATAAGACAATCACGATTGCAAGAGCCGTGATTGCAGGGAAATAAGACAACCACGAGTATAAAAGAGCCGTTATTTGCAATGATATAAGACAATCACGATTGCAAGAGCCGTGATTGCAAGGAAATAAGATAATCACGAGTATAAGAGCCGTGATTGCAGGGAAATAAGACAATCACGAGTATAAAAGAGCCATTATTTGCAGTGATATAAGACAATCACGATTGCAAGAGCCGCGATTGCAATGATATAAGACAATTACGAGTATAAGAGCCGTGATTGCAATGAAATAAACAATCACGAGTATAAGAGCCGTTATTTGCAGTGATAGAAGACAATCGTGACATCAACACAATTACAATAGTTTAATGATTGTTTTGCAGCTATGTTCAATCATTTGTTTAACAACGCATACATGAAGCGCACAGTGGCCGCTGTCGCTCTCCTGCTACTCGTCTACTGCGTCATTGAGACCAATCGAGGTTGGTTAATTCATTTATAAAATTATTTGTTTATCATAAATCATATAATTATGTTAATAATCATATATCCAGAAAAATCAAAGGGTAATATTGTTCAAATCGAGGTTGGTTAATTCATTCATTTATAAAGTTTTCTGTTTATCAATAATAATATAATTATGATAATAATCATTTTTCCAGAAAAATCAAAGGGTTATATTGTTCAAATGGGGTTGCACTTTCTGTACTGGGTCAGGAGGCAAAAGGGCATCAATAATTGGACAATGCGGCACTCATTTCTCTGAGTGTGCACTAGAATCACTAATGACTCGCTATGTTTTATTCAACAAGCATCGTGTATATGTGGATTACATATTCAATTATTTTTAAGCCTTTGTTATGGAAAAGTTAAACGTGAGTTACTATACATATTAAATGATGTTTCGTTTACACACTCATACAGTTGTGCGCTGTGTCCTTGCGATTCATTAAACATGTAGGCGCTGAAAGGAATACTGCGTGACAGAATTACTAATACGTGGCACTGGGTTATTTAAATTTAATTCATTGCTAACTCATGAGAGTGGTCTTACCTTTTAACCCTTGTATACTAATTATGTGGTATAATTAATATCATAATGAAATATCTAACATAACAGTATGCTTACGGTGTTGTCATTGTCTAATTAATGAGCGAAAATGGTGCGCAAAAATATTCTGATTGTCATAATAAAGCTTACTTTTTAAAATTTTTTTATATATGTACATATACATCAGTTTTAAGAGAAACAGAATAGGTGAAAATTATTGAAGCAAATGATACGTTTAATTTATCTCAATTAAATATGTCTCCCACAGTTGTACAGGAATCTTCCATCTCCACCAACCTCGCCGATGTGGAAAATGCCAGGTTCCTGCCGCCAGCCCCACATAAACTTGTTGGTGAGACTACAACCTCGGTAATCTTAATCCCCTAGCCACCACAACCCATGGAACCCTCAACCCCAGCCATCCACAACTTCAACCAACCTCGGGCCTATCCACTCACAACCTAAGCCACCCACAACCCCAACTACCAGCAACCCTAACAACCAAAACCCCAGCAACCCCCAACCCCAGCAATCCATAACCCCAAAAACAGACAACCCCAAAAACCCACAACCCCTGCCTTCCCCAGAAACAGCCTCCACAACAAAATCTCTACGCTGCCAAAACCTCGCTAACAAAAGAATCAATTAGTGCTTCAAAAATAATTCCAGAGAATTATCAAAATAGCGCTTTCATGTCTGAAAATCTATAATATTACCAAAAGGGACAACTGCTTCTATTCAGCTTATGCACTTAGAGAAATGAATGCATCATTATGATCCAATGATAGCGTCCACCAAACTTTTATGATGGTTTCACTTTCAATGAACAACTATTTCAGTTCAATTATATCAAGTATTAATATCAAATCCATTTTTTCCAATTATATCAAGTGAGTCTTTCTGTTTTTATCAACTTAAGTGAAACAAGCCACCAGAAAAGCTCTACAAGGTGTTTGTATGAACAGGTGATGGGTGTCCGCAGGTAAGCAACTCGTGGCTCCAGCTGCGTCATGTGTCGTTTTATGTTTATGATAAAGCGCACAAGCAGCAAACCTTTCAATAAAGGTTTAATAATAATTTTTTGAAATAATAAATTTTGGAACATAATAATTATAATTATATGACATAGTAATTACAAAATTGTTAACTTGTAAATCGAATATTGAAACCACAAATTGCTTGATTCACTATAAAATGACAGCGCAGATCATTAACGATAATCTTGAATGCTTTGAATGGATTGAATAGATAGAATTTATTCTTTAGGAGTTGGTAATGGATGAATGTTGAAAGGTTGTTTTCTGAAGTTCGAGGCTGCATTAACAACGAATTCATTGTTACGATGAACGAACGCGTTGATGAAGCAACTAAAGTTACGTTATAGCGATAATTCGCAACGCGATCCTTGTCATCAGAGGTTTCTCATGAAGCACATATGCAGAAAGCGATGATTTCTAAATAAGAATACATGACGAGAATAAATAATATGAATACAAAATGAAATACATAAGAATACATTTCAAAATAAGAATGCATAATAAAAATACATGTGCCTACTTGTCAAAATAATAATGTTATCAGACAGCCACGCTGTCCAAATTTCCAAGCATCCCTCACATGTCGGCATTTTCTTTGATAATCTCCCAATAAAATGTATAAGTTTATTGAATTTGCTGATGATATGGATCCTAAAACAGCCATTTATTTCAGGATCACAGTGCAATAAAATCTTAGTAATGTTTTCATATTGGCTGATAATGGGAGGCCTACTATGATTTTGTTGATAGCAGTGTGAATTTTTGGCATTTTCTTTACGTACTGTTCGATCATCGAAAATTGAACTGTCAATGGATTCACGTCGATGTCTATGCGAGTCTGGATAAAAAAAAATAAAATCTAAAAATCTTTCAACTAACTAATACGTTTGTATTGTTTAAGTAATACAAACCTTGATGTGAACTTGCGAAATTTGTATTAGGCTCTTGTACTTGAATTTTTAATACATAAATACAGTATTTTTTAATACCAGAGAGAAATTCTAATTAACGATTCCCTTCTGGGCCTCAGTTATACAAATTGAAGCATTATAGTACAAATACAAATTCTACTTAATATACTAGTACTTATATGCGTTTACGCCTAACAAATTACTCCCCTTTTAGCGCATTTTCTCATTTATGGAAAAAATGCACTATAGTGCTCACCATGTCTGTCTGTCCGTCCGTCCGTCCGTCCGTCCGTCTGTCTGTCCGTCTGTCCGTCCGTCTGTCCGTCTGTCCGTCTGTCCGTCCGTGACTTCACGTTTTCGTCGACGAGAAAATGCGCACTCTGTCACTCACTGCAATGAGTACTGAGTTATATTTTTTATTTTATTCCCGTGCATGCCTTACAGATGCTTTATTTTTTTCGGTTCCAGTTGCCAACCAGTTGCTGAATTTGATCCTCAACGTCACGGGGATAAACAACACAAATGTCGTCAAATTAATGAAAGAAACTTTAACTGAAACTGAAGAAGACTTGACGGAGAACCTGGTCATTCTTAAGGTCAGTAGTTCCTTGATACTGAGAGAAATGAACGGGTCACAGCGACCCACTTGGAATTAATTCTTCATCAATTAGACGCCACTGTAATAAAATTCAATCGTTTCATGAATCTCTATATAGACATGCATTGAAGTGTCACGATTAAAAAACGTATAATTCTAGTAATAACTGATAACTTATAGAAGTGCTTTTTCATTTAAAAAATAATGGAATTACTCGAGAGAGTCTTCCAGCATTATTTATTCTCTAAAGCGTAAAATAAAAGTTATTTCTATCAAATCTCTATTTTAGTCCACCGCATTTGTCTAGAATATATTTTTCAAGCAAATATTTCCTGAGTTGTCTAATTCGAACCTAGCATTTTGTTACATTTATTTATAATTTGTGTGAGAGGCATCCTACTGGTTATCGCAAACAAATAATTTCCTCTCACTATAACAATCATACTGATTGTTATAGTGAGAAACAACCACTATAACAATCAATAACAATAAAACTATCACAATCATAATGATTATCATAGTGAATTTTCTCTCGCTATAACAATCATAATTTAGAAAAATTGGTACGATATTTTCACTAAATTTTCAATGCTACACAATTGTAAATTCCCGGCGCTTATCAGCACTTTATGTCCCGCAGGAATTCGCAGAAAAATACGCATGCGCAACCTGCGTCGACTCCCGCCCGTTACCGAAGACCGCGGTCGACATTCGCGTACGTCTTGCAAGCACGGGCACGTGGCACGGAGTACCGGCGCCCGTTATGACGTTCCGACCACTCGGGAGGCTCGGTAACCTCATGGGTGAATACGCATCGCTGTACGCATTGAAGAATTACAGCGTAACGAGTTTCCTGATGCCATCACTGCACAAAGACGTCAAGGACGTGTTCAAGAGACTGTCCATACCTTACCTGAACAAATGTATTAACACGGAAGGATATGCCCAAGCCTGTCCTCCTTGCAGTGGCATACTGTGCAGGATTGGGATGACTTCCAAGAAATTGGGTATCCCTGTGCCCAGCATGTGTGAGTAATGGGCTGAGGGTCAAGAGACTGGGTATCCCTGTACCCAGCATGTGTGAGTAATGGGGTGATGGTCAAGAGACTGGGTATCCCTGTGCCCAGCATGTGTGAGTAATGGGCTGAGGGTCAAGAGACTGGGTATCCCTGTGCCCAGCATGTGTGAGTAATGGGCTGAGGGTCAAGAGACTGGGTATCCATGTACCCAGCATGTGTGAGTAATGGGATGACAATATCAGGGAGAATTGCTGCAACTTAATTTCTCAAATAATAGCTTGGATGTAAAATAAACGCAACGAAATTTGATGGGATAATAATTTCGTTCGTTCATCGGTAGTTTTTTTTCTGTCTTAGACATCTCAGGGAAATGAAATTGCACAAATTTGCTTACGAGACATGAGTGAGTTTTTAGTCGAGAAAAGATCGAGTTATATTGTCCAAATTTTGACACACTGCATATCCATATCCCGCAGCATGAGCCGAGAGTATACGTAGCACTGATATGCTTATTTTACCGGGCTGAACTGGGTAAACGATACTCGTAAGAACAAAAACTGGGTTGCTATCTGTATTTCTCTCATTGATTGCGTGAATTATTGAAATATAATTCGTAATTCTATTAACTCCCTTTTAACTGATTAATGATGTTTGAAGACGAAGATGTTCATTAAATCGGGAAACATTTTTATGTATTTATTTGAAAATGTACAATGTATTGATAAACTAGAGGCAAATTTCCTTTTTTTCAGTTGAAGACAAAGACTGGATCTCAATCGGCGGTGACTTCGGCTGGGTTGAGTACAGCTACCAGGCGCAGCAACTTGCTGCCGCTGGCTTACTGGGGCCTCATGCTTTTATAATGGAAGGTAACTTAAACAAAATGATAGATTATTTAAATTAATATCGTCATTATCATATGTGGCTAAGTTTCATTGAGACAGAGCATTAAGGCTAATTTTAACATCTTTATTATCTGTTATTTTTCCAAGTTTTAAATTAACTAACGCCCGATAAATGCATTATGATTTATAAAACAACAACGCAAATGAATTTCGCAAAACTAGTTGAAAATTGATAGTGTTTTGTATGTATGATTAAAATTTTTGAGACGTATAAACATAATTTCGACAGGCAGTGGAATATACGAGCACCATTTAGAATTATTTAATCTAATATGAAGCAAATCTAAAGGTATTCTCTGGCTCCAATACGCTTTATCTATTAAGTTATGAAAGTTCTCACTAATATTGTTCTAATAAAAAGTCTATAATCCTTTAAGGTTTCAATGCAGTTGTGAATAGACATAGAATATAGTAGGTTATGAAAATATACATTTTTTCATAATTATGCTTACGAATCGTGGCGTCTGAATTAAGTGCCTCCTTGCTAGATCTCTGTCTATGATAAAAAATTTATGTGTATTTTTTCATTGCTGATTTTTAGTGATTTTTAAAATATCATTGAGATGAATAAAATACCAATGCGTAGCGTAATCAGTTGATGATCTCGATAGTCCAACGATTTATCGTAAGTATAAAATGTAAATTTATAATTAAAGTTAACTAATTAATTCAATAAATAATCTCAGTAAATCATTAATTTAAACCGGCCATTAATCAATGGGATTGTATTTACAGATTATCCTCTAGAAATAACTTCCTTCGCTGCGTACCGAGATGAACTTCGTAAAGAATTTGAATTTCTTGATGAAATTCAGAAAAAGGTGAAAATTTGGGGGATTTAATGAGAAGGATTGCATCAGTTTACTTATAAAGTAGATTTTTGCTTAATTCTATATGAGTCGACTCTACTTATTATCAGTACCATATCTCTATCAAGGTTAAATGAGCGCCATGAACAACGATTCACAATATCATAAAGCTTTACTTTAGTTAGCGTTGAAAAAGCTAAAAGACCTTTTCGCAACACGTCTCAGAAATATTGAGTTAATCAACCCCTATTGTACATAAAATTTTCAAAATCAATCTCAAGAGTTAATCCCTCCGGAAAGGTCGCAAGTATTAAAACATTCATGGACATATGTTCCTGATCTTATAACGATGTTTGCACTATAAATAACATACATGCTCTACTTGAATCGCTATAGGTCATTCGATCGATTACACTATATAACAGACGTACTCTACTACTATTATCACTCCGACTTGTTTGATCATTAGCATTATCAATAATCTGTGCGCCCTACTTATATCTCTCATCAGGCAATTCAAGAACAAAAAGACACCTTAGTTACTTGTTTAAATGATTTAATGGTTATAAATTGCAGATCTCACATCATCTTTCAGCGATGCATTGCAATAATTTTCCAGTAAAAAAGGACGCAATTTTTACAGGCCTATGTCAACATTGCCCTAATTTTTCAGTAAAAAAGGCGCTTTTTTACTGGCCTTTGGCAACATTATACTAATTTCTCACTAAAAAATGCGCAATTTCTACAGGTCTATGACCGCCTCGCAGCAGTCGCCGCCAGCGCTACGAAGGAAGATCCGTCTAAACCTTTGGTCTTCGTGGGCGTTCACGTCAGACTCACTGATTACCCGCACCACATGTCCATAGTGCGTGTAAAAACTAATCAATAGATGTTTTAGTACGTATAATATTTATTCAATATATGCACTTAGCACGAATGATAATCAAACAATAATTCATATAATAATTAAATAATATATATTTTTAGCATGTATAATAATTAACGACTATATTTTCATTACGCATAATCATTTATTCATATAAATTCTACTGGAACATTTAATGATGGAGTAATATTCGAATTTATTCAGGAAATTCAGGGCAAGGAAATGTCGGTTAACATTTCCATTTAAACAGCAAATAGTTGATATAACCTATTGTTGATTAATAAAGAATTTTTCAGTTTTCCATATACTTTGTGCCGATTTTTTTGATCCTGTATGACATATTATCGCATGAACTTTTTCTGAAAAAAGGTTCTTTTTGAATTATTCAACCTAACTTCTTTCGTACTTAACCTAACATTGTATTGCTTGATGAGTGTAAATCATGACTGTAAACCATGAGTGTAAATAATGAGAGTGAATCATGAGTGTGAATCATGAGTGTGTATCATGAGTGAGAATCAGGAGTGTGAATCAGGAGTGTGAATCACGAGTGTAAATAATGAGTGTGAATCATGAGTGTGAATCACGAGTGTGTATCATGAGTGAGAATCAGGAGTGTGAATCACGAGTATGTATCATGAGCGTGAATCATGAGTGTGAATCATGAGTGTTTATCATGAGTGTGAATTACGAGTGTGTATCATGAGTGAGAATCATGATGTAGCGGTCCGACTTTCTAACAGTCATTCTCGCTCTTCTTCTCTCATTCAACGCATTACTCGAAGCTGAAATTGAACACGAGTCTTGGTTGGCTCACGCTCGATTAAGCGCCTGCCTGGTCGGGCGTGGCATGCAGAACGCAGGAATATCGGTCGCCTGGCAAGGAAATACATTGGATCTGCCTCACATGCTGCTGTCAACCATTCATTTAAAACCAAGTTCTTGTACTATGATCAATTCTTCCGTCGGCCATGGACGGGTGCGTCTGCAGGCAAGCGGAGCGAGATAACATTCCTCGAAGACAGTACCGCTTCCATCGCCGTACGTCGCATGGCCTTTGTCATTTATTTGAACATCTGTCTTCTTACTCGGTGAACAGTGCAGAAGGAAGCTGCAACTTGTTGGCAACGTTGGATAAGAGTCGCGGCGTAATCTCGGCAAGCAATGAGCTCCTCCGCTAGATTCCCACACTTTGAATTGATTTGACCTATGACCTTTGACTTGATTTGAATCGATTTTTGATGAACAGTGACTTCCTCACGGCGATAACACCGGTGACGTATGGACGGGCCCAGCCGAATTTAACGTTCTTTAATGTTCAATTTAACTTTTCTCGTCTTATAGCTACCTAGGATTACTGATGTACTTCTCATGAGTTTGCGTGTTCATTTACCTAGATTGTTTATTAAATAATGTAGGTGCGTTTCATCATTAGTACTCTTTTCCAAATAGAAATTTCGATGACTGGGTTAATTTAGTTCCATGCCTTCTCACTATCCCGTTGGGGTAAACTATATGTGTTCCTCCTCTCCCGCAACAATGAGTGTGAATCATGAGTGTGAATAATGAGTGTGAATCATGAGTGTGTTCATGAGTGTGAATCATGAGTGTGAATCATGAGTGTAAATAATGAGTGTGAATCATGAGTGAGTGTGAATCATGAGTGCAAATTTTAATTCATTACTCCCACAGTTATTCTCCGTGGACGATCTGGACAAGTCCTACGAAGGATATCTTCGTCGGGCGTTCACATTTTTTACGGATAAGTTCGACAACGTCGTTTTTGTCGTCGCGTCGGATGACGTCGTCGCCACCGCTAACATGACGAAAAAACTTGCTTTTCCGAACACTTTTGTGTCGCAAGGTGAGACGGAAGTCGCATGAGCTTATTTTTGAGAGGAATTAATGCCTCAATTAATGTCTCAGAGGAATTAATGTCTCACAATTTTACTTTTGAATTTGAATGTATGTTGATCCGAAGAAAAATATAGTTGGCAAATAAACATTTCAGTATATCCAAAATACGAGAATACTTATCGCGAAACCTAAATAACCCCGAATACTTACATCATGGGTGTCAATAATACTGTTATATTATATATTGTTATCTATTTTATATACAATGTTATATTGTATTTTATCAATAGTAGAAATGCGAATACAACTTTTCCATGATCTCACCTCTAAAAGTTTTCCTTTTGACCCTAAGAATAAAGCCAAAAAATTTTAACGAGAATTTCCATTATATATTGCTCGGATAAAAGCTTCACTTTATTTGTAAATGATACCGTGAAGGTCGTTTTTATGACAATGTGTGATCTATAAATGTCGAATGATGCAATTCAGTCGATCTTCCTTCCTTCGCTGTTGCTTTACATATTTTTTACTGGTAATGTGTTAGAGAAGTTTGCTTTCTATTAGTGATTATTTGTTGCCAAGATTCATAGTGCAACTTGTGAAGTACGAGTATTTTTTATTATCCAGCAATTTGATAGATGGCAACTCAAAGACAGAATCCAGCTGACATGTTTTAATGTCACTGCCAGCAAGTACTGGCACAAAAGCTAAAGCTTGCTAAATACTACAAAAAACGCTGCATAAACCACATATTAGTTTATTTATCATGTTCATAAACTGGTCATACATAACTGTTTTCAATTTGTTAATGGATTGTTTCAGCTGTCCATGTCTCAAACTATTTGAAATCTTCTCACAATCATGGAGTCAGATAGACAAAGTAAAACTTGAAAGTGGTGTAACATTTTCAGCAAACCTGAAACCAGAAACTAAATCCATTTAGAAATTTTAAGAAACAACTTCAGGTATTCCTGCAACGAAATGACTTCAATAAAGTTGCTGCAATGCGCTCTGATATTTCACAAATATTCTCATTAATGCTCCTGGTGCCTGTCACAGAGCCCATGCACGGATGGCAAAATAATATACAGCTTGAAAAATCGCCTGTTTCGGTTCCAGTTCCATCTCACACTGTCTGAATTCAAAGGGCTTCAACAGTATAATGCATTTACTGTCAGGCTCTATCTTAAAGCATGGTACACCTGCATGTCAGCTGCAGTTGTTCCACGAAATAATTTGTAGTTGCTGAAAGATCATGTTGCCTACATACATAGAACAGTTAATAAATCAACAACCTGTGCAGCTACGAAGACATTTATGTGACATTTATAGTATAGACTGAAGTTTTTGTGAGGCTTGCTTTCTTTTATTTAGAACTTACTGACACAGAGAAGCACAAAATAGTAAATGACATGTCCAAACCTGGTGAAAACCAAATTCTACACCTCAATTTTAATCCCAGGACATAAGTACTTTGTCTGAGTTGATTTGTTAATATTGATCGCAACAAACGCACAAACAATTTGCGACCATGCAAACTGAAACTTAATTTCTGCTACGGGAACCTGACACTAGGAACAAAATTGAATATTTCTTCATAAGGTGGCAAAAACTGCAGGAAATTAGAATAAATTGGTAAAATACTGCCGAATGCGGTATTTCCTTGATCCAGAACCTCAGCTCTGTGATCACTGAGCAAGAGAAACTAATGCAGCATCAGCTGCAGATCGTCAAATGTCATCGCCAGCAATTTCATATGTCTAAAAAATCTGTTATTATCGAGAAAATATTAAGCGAATGAAACAAATGTGTTTTATTGCTATGTAGGTAGTACTTAGATTGTTGGCAGTAGTGCACCACAGCATTTCAGTGGCGTTTTACATTGAATAATATTTAGTCAATTTACACATTACACTATCTCTGAAACTGCTTCCATGATTAAATTTAACCTGATTTGTTAAAAATTTGTGCAACCAGTAAACAGTGTTATATTGTAAAAATGTTTTGTTATATGAATTCAGGATGGAACAATTCTGGAACATGAGACCGAAAAAACGAATTTGTTTTGGTTGGCAACTTAATTTACAAACTTAATTTACTGAAACCCTTGTTTTCACACAACCTCTAATACCTACCAACCCATAATACCTACACAACCCCCTATTCCTACACAAGCCTTAATACCTACACAACCCCTAATACCTACACAACCCTTAATACCTACACAACCCCTAATACCTACACAACCCTTAATACCTACACAACCCCTAATACCTACACAACCCTATATTCATTATGACTAATATATGGTACCATTCACCTCCCGTGTCTTCTCATTAAGGTGGTGACGATGTAACGTATGGGTTAGTGATATCATTCAACGCGTTGTGACTTCTCATTAAGGTGACGATGTAACTAATAGGTTAATGGGGCCATTCATCGCGTTGTGCCTTCTCATTAAAGCGGCGATGTCACTAATAAGTTAATGGGGGCATTCATCTCGTTGAGCCTTCTCATTTAGGAGACGATTCAACTTATTGATTACGTAATTGGACCTTTCATCTCATTGTGTCTTCTCATTAAGGTGATGATGTGATTTATAGGTTAGGTTAATGGGACCATTCATCTCTTTATGTCTTCTCATTAAGGTGATGATGTGACTTATAGATTAATGGGAACTTCCGTCTCATTGTGCCTTCTCATTTAGTGTACCGAGTTTTCCAATACCCATGAGCGTCCATATCTTGTTCTGGCATCTACCTGTAAGGGCGATAGTAAATTGTAGTTTTGTACGCTCAATGTTTTGTACATTTTACATTTACATGTTTATTACATTACATTTTATGAAAGAACGTATTCCACGAATTAAATATCATGTGTGTTTCACCCTGGAATCAAAGAATGGTAGTGTACGGTAGGATAAGTTTTCGAAATTTTCTGTGTTGTTTGCCTGAATTTTGTAAACAAGTTCGTCAGGTAAAATAAGTGAGTCAGGTAGATTAAGTGAGTCAGGTAAAATAAGTGAGTCGGGTAAAATAAGTGAGTCAGGTAAAATAGGTGAGTCTGGTGAGGTAATAGGTGAGGTAAACTAAGTGAGTCTGGTAAAATAAGTGAGTCTGGTAAAATAGGTGAGTCTGGTAAAATAAGTGAGTCATCTGAGATGAATGAGTCAGTAAAATTCGAATGAGTCAATATTCCTGAAGAAGAACGCTCGTTTATTTGGAAACTAATTTCAGTTAGACTCGTTGACTATAATCTCGAAGACCTATCATTTTTTTCTAGTCCTATAATAATTGTGACCCAACAAGTGAGTTCAGCATCGAGGCTGAGTGAGGAAACCACGCTCATATGTGTAACTTTTGTCTGATGTTTGATTAAGCAAATCTTTCTTTGCGGTGGTTCAAAAAATCAGGTGAAAATTACATTTTTAGAACTCGCGATGTTGTCGCACAATTATTGAGAGGCTAAGGTAAAGAAATAATAACGCAAGGAACTTTTTAATTTGAATTCAACCAACAAAATTTTGAACGGCATTCAAGTTGTTCTGAGTTTTTTTGATATGAAGAGTTAAGTGCCTTCAAGAGTTCGAATCCTCAAGTTGAATTTACTGCAAATGTACTAATGGCTGCTGAAGGCTAGTAGCAGGCGATTCGTTAGCAAACAGGGTGACGAAGAGGGTGACGGAAAAAAATAAAGCTAACCCGTCCAGTCGCAGGATCGGGATAAGTGGATACTGTAGAAGAAATGGATTTATATAAGACTAGTCAAAATTAACACGGGTAAAATATTCGAATATTGGACACCAAATAACCGAGATAATTTCAGGAATAACCTACCAACCTGAGGTTTTATTGCAGCGGTGTGATTTATCACTTATAGTAGGACGAATTATTGGTGAAAATAGTGGAAATCAGTTGAAGGGGGGTTAGTTTGACGAGAAAAAATGGAAAGAATAGCAGGAGGCTTTGCTTTTGAAAGTTAGAAATGGACTTAATCTTAATATTTAATAGGAGTGAACTTCGGGAGTACAGTACTAAGTTACCACTGTCAGAGTGATGCTGCACTATCAGAGTGATAAGCATTTAATTTGCATATATAATTAATTAAATTTAGCTTATGATTTGACGAAATAAATTGATTAAAATTACTTCAGTGTTTGAGCCTTAAACTAAATCTAACTTCTCCCAGTAGGATTAATGATTTAAAAAGTGCAACAATAAACAAAATGAAATCTAAACGGCATTCATTCAAACAAAAGAATAGAGAAGAGTTACAGCAAGAGGTTGATCATAAATGAACGTTGGTGCAAATCTTGTTGCTACGTTGTTTAGTGATGTCTTTTTCAGTTTATACGTTTTTAGCGCATTTTCTCATTTATGGAAAAAAGGCGCTATTGTACTCGCCATATCCGTTCGTCCGTCTGTCCGTCCGACTGTCTGTCTGTCTGTCCGTCCGTGACTTCACGTTTTCGTCGACGAGAAAATGCGCTCTCTTTCACTCACTGCAGTGAGTACTGAGTTATATTTTTTTGTTGATGGTTTTTTTACATTGGTGATGGCTTTTTCGGTTTATACATTAAAAAAAAGTAATCTCCAAAAAGTTGAAATAATACGTCAACACGGGCAGACTTAGTTATGCTCTTGAGGCGAATTGAACTCGAAACTATTGATAACTCTCGGTCACTCCGTTAAAACCCGGTTCAGAACCTCTTTGACTATATAATTACTCTTCGTAAGAAGTTAATATGGCGGATTTAATAAATTCTGAGCGAACGATAGATCTTGTAAATTAATCCTTGCCTATGTACAAATAGACTGTGATAAATTATGAATTTCTCACAAACTATCCCCGTTCATTCCAAGTTATGAAATAATATGTATAAAGATTTATGTGTCTCAGTTATAAGAATTTACCTCGGCGTACGACGCGAATTTTATTTATTTATTTGATAAATTTATTTATTTAATAAATTTCGTCGCACGGCGCTGATGTTTTTTGAATGAATCTCGGCCTGCAAGACGCTGATG